TAGTGTCACCCCCCTCTTCTTGTCCCCCTGGCTGTGTCACTGTCACCCCCTCATCAATGTCCCCCATCTGTCACCCCCCCGCGAGTGACCCCCAACTTGTCACCCCCCCCCCCAGTGCTCCCCCATTTCCCCCATCCTGGGGGAGGTGACAAGGGACAGGTGACACTGGGGACACTGAGGGTTGTGGCCACCTTGGGGTGACCCCAAAGTGTCACCCTGGGGGAGCTGGTGGCTTTGGGGACAGGGGACACCTGGAGGTGTGGCGGTGGTCACAGGCGGTGGCCAGTGGTCAGCTGTGGTGGCCAGCAGTGGTGGCAGGTGACAGTGGCCACTGTCCCATGGTGGTGGCCACTGTCCAATCACGGTGGTCACTGTCCAATCACGGTGGCCACTGTCCCATGGTGGTGGCCACCGTCCCACTGGTGTCAGGTCACAGTGGCCACTGTCCCATGGTGGTGGCCACTGTCCCATCATGGTTGCAGGTGACAGTGGCCACTGTCCCATCCTGGTGGCCACTGTCCCATCAGTGCCAGTGTCCCATGGTGGTGACCAGCGAGTGGTCACAGTGGCCACTGTCCTGCTGTGGTGGCCCATGTCCCATGGTGGTGGCCAGTGTCTGGTCAGGATGGCTGGTGTCCCCTCCCAGTGTCCCCATCCCGGTGTCCCCATCCTGGTGTCCCCATCCCAGTCCTGTCTCCATGTCCCAGTTCCTGTCCCCATCCCTCACCTCCTGTGACCCCATGTCCCTGTCCTGTCCCTGACCCTGTGTGTCCCTGTCCCTGTGTCCCTGTCCCCGTCCCCATGTCCTCTGTCCCTGTCCTGTCTCTGTCCCCATGTCCCTGTCCCCACCTGTGTGACCCCGTCCTGTCCCCGCCCTTGTCCCTGTCCTGTCCCTGACCCCGGTGTCCCCATGTCCTGGTGTCCCCATGTCCCTGTCCTGTCCCTGACCCTGCTGTCCCTGCTGTCCCCATGTCTGTCCTGTCCCATGTCCCTGACCCTGTGTTCTCATGTCCCTGTGTCCCCTTGTCCCTGTCTCCCTGTGATGTCCCCTTGTCCCCTTGTCCCCATGTCCCTGACCCTGCTGTCCCCGTGTCCCCATGCTGTCCCTGTGTCCCCATGTCTCTCTGTCCCTGTGTCCCCATGTTCTCATGTCCCTGTCCCCATGATGTCCCTGTGTCCCCATGGTGTCCCCATGCTGTCCCCATGATGTCCGCATGTCCCCATGCTGTCCCCATGTCCCCACGCTGTCCCCATGTTCTCATGTCCCTGTCCCCACGCTGTCCTCACGCTGTCCCCATGCTGTCCCCATGATGTCCCCATGATGTCCGCGTGTCCCCATGCTGTCCCCATGTCCCCATGATGTCCCCATGTTCTCATGTCCCTGTCCCCACGATGTCCCCACACTGTCCCCACGCTGTCCCCACGCTGTCCCCATGTTCTCATGTCCCTGTCCCCATGATGTCCCCACGCTGTCCCCATGTTCTCATGTCCCTGTCCCCATGATGTCCCCGTGATGTCCCCATGTTCTCATGTCCCTGTCCCCATGCTGTCCCCACGCTGTCCCCATGTTCTCATGTCCCTGTCCCCACGCTGTCCCCATGTTCTCATGTCCCTGTCCCCATGATGTCCCCGTGATGTCCCCATGTTCTCATGTCCCTGTCCCCACGCTGTCCCCATGTTCTCATGTCCCTGTCCCCACGCTGTCCCCACGCTGTCCCCACGCTGTCCCCATGTTCTCATGTCCCTGTCCCCACGCTGTCCCCGTGTCCCCCAGGGCTCTGAAGGCCGCGTGGCTGCTCCGCTCCCGCCCCGCTGATGCCCGAGGGAGCCGAGCCATGAAGGGGTGAGTGACACCCCAAAACTCACCTGGGGCCCCCAAACTCACCTGGGACCCCCAAAATTCACCTGGGAACCCAAAAACTCACCTGGCACCCCAAAAAGTCACCTGGGACCCCCAAAACTCACCTGAGACCCCAAAAATCTTACCTGGGACCCCCAAAATCTCACCTGGGACACCAAAACTCACCTGAGACCCCAAAAATCTTACCTGGGACCCCAAAAATCTCACCTGGGACCCCCAAAACTCACCTGGGATGCCCAAAACTGCCCCAAGATCCCCCCCAGATCTGCTCTGGGACCCCAGAATGGCCCCAAAACCCCCAAAACCCCCCCACAGGTGGGACACATGGGGGGGCGGGGGCATTTGGGGGAGCCCCAAATTTGGGGTTCGGGGGTTTTGGGGGGCTCAGGGACCCCCCCTCAGTGTTTTGTTTCCCCCCCCAGGCAGCAAAAAGCAGCCGAGACCGAGGAGGGGACGGTGCAGATCCAGGAAGGTGAGGGGGGACCCCAAAATTGGGTTTTTTTTGGGGGGGATTTGGGGTTTTTTGGGGGGGATTTGGGGTTTTTTGGGGGGGATTTGGGGACATTTTGGGGTGGGGGGGGATTGGGGTGCCCCCCTCCCCAATTTGGGGTGCCCCCCATCCCGTGTCCCTTCCAAGTTTGGGGTTCCCCTTCCCCAATTTGGGGTTCCCATAATTTGGGTTCTCCCCTAATTTTTGGTGCTCCCTAATTTGGGGTTCCCCAATTTTGGGTGCCCCGTAATTCCCCCCCTAATTTGGGTGCTCCCCTAATTTGGGGTTCCCCTAATTTGTGGTGCCCGTAATTGGGTTTCTCCTAATTTGGGGCACCCCTAATTTGGGGTTCTCCTAATTTGGGGTTCCTTGCTTGGGGTTCTCCTAATTTGGGATTTCTGTCATTTGGGTGCTCCCCCTAATTTGGGGTTCTCCTAATTTGGGGCAGCCCTAATTTGGGGTTTTCCTAATTTGGGATTTCCATAATTTGGGGTTCTCCTAATTGGGGGCCCCCCTAATTTGGGGTTCTCCTAATTTGGGATTTCAATAATTTGGGGTTCTCCTAATTTGGGGAATCTCTAATTCGGGGTTCTCCTAATTTGGGATTTCCATAATTTGGATGGTCCCCCTAATTTGGGGTTCTCCTAATTTGGGGTTCTCCTGATTTGGGGTTCTCCTAATTTGGGGTTCTCCTAATTTGGGGTTCTCCTGATTTGGGGTTCTCCTAATTTGGGATTTCCATAATTTGGGCCCCCCCTAATTGGGGGTTCTCCTAACTTGGGGTTCTCCTAATTTGGGGCACCCCTAATTTGGTGTTCTCCTAATTTGGGCTTTCCATCATTTGGGGTTCTCCTAATTTGGGGCCCTCTAATTTGGGGTTCTCCTAATTTGGGATTTCCATCATTTGGGGTTCTCCTAATTGGGGGCCCCCCTAATTTGGGGTTCTCCCAATTTGGGATTTCCATCATTTGGGGTTCTCCTAATTGGGGGCCCCCCTAATTGGGGGTTCTCCTAATTGGGGCGCCCCAGGCTCGGTGGCCACGGGCGAGGACCCCACCAGCGTGGCCATCGCCAGCATCCAGTCGGCCGCCACCTTCCCCGACCCCGGCGTCAAGTATGTGTTCAGGACCGAGGGCGGCGGCACGCAGGTACGCGCCGGGCACGCCTGGCACACCTGGGGGCACCTGGGGTACAGCTGGGGGCACCTGGGATACAGCTGGGGGCACCTGGGGTACAGCTGGGCACACCTGGGATACAGCTGGGATACAGCTGGGCACAACTGGGATACAGCTGGGCACACCTGGGATACAGCTGGGATACAGCTGGGCACAACTGGGATACAGCTGGGCACAACTGGGGGCACCTGGGGTACAGCTGGGCACAACTGGGATACAGCTGGGATACAGCTGGGCACACCTGGGATACAGCTGGGCACACCTGGGGGCACCTGGGGTACAGCTGGGCACACCTGGGATACAGCTGGGATACAGCTGGGCACACCTGGGGGCACCCGGGGTACAGCTGGGCACACCTGGGATACAGCTGGGGGCACCTGGGATACACCTGGGATACAGCTGGGCACACCTGG